AACAACAGTACGCGCCTTACAATCCATGTTACATGTATTACCCCAGCAGACCCCAAAACACGCAGAAACATTCTCGGCTTCCAGGTAAGAATATTAGTGTAAGCAGCTGATGAAGCGCTCGAAGAGTATTAAAACAAACTGACAAGATTTTTCGCTGTTTATAACCGGGTAACCATTCCGACATGGGTGAAGAGAGGAAAATTATGGTCGTCTTTCCCAAGTACACAACGTCAGACTCCTAACAGGGTTCAAACCCACGACCTTTAGGTCGCCAGCCCAACAGCCTAGCCACTAGATCACCAACACCACAATTTTGACACGCAGGCTTGTGGGAGAAAAGCTGAAAATTCGTCACCCCACAGTAAGTATAAACACTCACTCGTGACTGCAGCACGTCCACTAATTATTACCATCGCCATCCTTGCACGTCAATGTGAACCGGCGTCTGTGGTATTTCGGTTAGACGCTTCGCTGAAGCACGCAGAAAACCTGAGTTCGATTCCAGAGTGGGGAGAAAATTTCTGTCGAGTATTTCGGTCTTTCTGCTGGGATGTATTCCTCTTGGCCCGGGTTGGCCCCGACAGGCAGGGTCAGAAGCCCGCCTCCTAAATGATCTAAACTGTGTGGACGGAGACGTAAAAAACAATTAAATGTATTTTTAAAAATATATATGAAAGATGTCGTATCACTGAGGACCCCACGGCATTTTGCCTTGATTTCTGCTTCTCCCCCTGTTGAGGGGATACTTGCTATAATCCAGTCATCAACGATGTCGTGTTCCCACCGTAGCGTCGTTGGTCTAGTGGTTAGGCTGTCGTGCTCATAACCGAAAGGTATTTTGTTCGAACCCTGTCTGGGCCCAGACGTTGTGTCCTCTGGCAAGGCACTTTACATGAATTTTCCTCACTTCGCCCAGGTGGGGATTGGTATCCGGCTATAGACAGCAAACTATCAAGTCAGTTTGTTAGTCTTCGGTCGCTAAATCAGCTGTTTGCACTGTATGCTTTCCGGGAAGCTGAGAATGTTTCTGACTTGAGTGTTCTGTGGTCTGCGGGTAATTTTTTGTTAAAGCGCGTAGAGCATGCTGCAGAGCATGGATATGCGTTATATAAATGCAATTATTATTATTATTATTATTATTATTAATTCTTCCACCTTTACATTACCATTTTTTCAAGCCTGTCCGAAACAACTGAGCTATTGTGCGGCAAGTTACACGAAACAAGTTGAGAATTAAGATAGCTTCCTTTTGACATGCTGATCAAAAGAGAACACTGTAACTTCTATCAATGGAAAACGCGACATGAGCTAAAAGCATGACACCATCGTACCAACATAATGAAGGTCTTTTCGGCAGGATGTGCCTTCCGAAATTTGGATTTCAGTTTATTATTATATTTCTATTATAGTAGAGGGTTTTACGGCGCTGGCAACTGCATAAGGTCATATGAGGGCCAAGGGGTGGGTGTCAACAGAGAAGTCTTTACAGGGAATCAGACTTGCTCTGCTCACCTCTCACGTTTCAACAGCACAAGGTCTGCTTCAACTATCAAGGCAACCGGAAATAGCAGGTCACAAGAGAGTGACAAACATGCAAAAGAAGTAGAGGAAAATGACAATAGTAAGGATTAGGAAAGAAAAAGCAGCAGTTCCCTGTTGTAGGTCAGGCAGAGTTACGAGCGTGACATGAATCAGCCCATTTACAATTCTACTGTGCTTGAACGAGAAATGTCCCCCCTTTGGGAATGGCCTAAAGACACTTCAGTCAGTGGCCCCGCCCCGAGGGTGATTTCAGTTTGAAGACGGTGAACAAAATAAAGGAGGGATGTGAACATAATATTATCAGCAATCGCTCATTCAGCATATGCACACAACCATTTAAATAAAGCTTGGAGAAGCAAACGAAAATAAATAATGTATTCACCTGCGGAGGCCATACACACACATCTACAATAATTTAATGTTTTAAATTTGCGTTATCTCTGTCTGTCTGTCTGTCTGTCTGTCTGTCTGTCTGTCTGTCTGTCTGTCTCTCTCTCCCCCTTTCACTCTTTTAAATAATCGAACCCGAGATGTAGCTGTTTTCAGGACCACATGAGTCTAAGTAACATCAAACTTGTACCAACATATTGCAGGCAATGCGAATTAAACTGGACAATAAAGAGACGACACTGAATACAATAACGTTCCGATCCAAAGCACCGAGGTGTCCTTGTATCTTAAAGTGTATTTGATAACTCTTTGATTTTTAGCTCGAATTACAAAGTGAGGAAATATCTGGGCGATAAATAATGTCTTGGATGTCGTGACGTTCTTTTAATTTTTTTTACTTTCTTTTTTCCAGATGTCCCCTTCATCCCCCCCCCCCCTCCATTTTTTTCCATTTTCTCTTTCCAACCCTTTTTTCTGCACCTGAGCTCTTCTGACAAGAAGACACTTCTTCAATTAGTCAGGTCTGCATGGCATTGTCATAATAAATATGATGCCTAACCAGACTGAGCGGATAGAGCACATTTATTAAACAGAATAAAGCAACAGTGAACTTTGATCATATCTCATATATTCTGCAGCACACAAAGATACTGTAGTTTCCCCCGGAGTAAAAGGTGCGGAACAGTGCACAGATGAAGAACAACCAGCCTTGGTCAACGTGAAAGGCAAGCACAACTGACCCTGTGCATACGCGTGTGTGTTTGTGTGTGTGTGTGTGTTTGTGTGTGTGTGTGTGTGAGTATATGTGTGTGTGTGTGCATGCGTGTGTGTGTGTGTGTGTGTGTGCGCATGTGTGTGTGTGTGTGTGTGTGTGTGTGTGTGTGTGTGTGTGTGTGTGTGTACACCCTTTGTTTACTACAAAGGAGAAAGGATGAAGATGACAATTATTTTCCATGTATAGAAGGTAAAAATTAGTTTAGCACGAATATTGGGCCTGGATAGATAAAATAACAACAACAACGAAGAATTCCCTCTCTGCATTTTTGCGCCGCTATGAAAAAGCCATCATCTACGTCTTCGGGTTTGAGATTTTGAGTTAAAGGCTAAGGAATGTACCGAAATGACAGAGACAGCCTTTTCCATACCCAGAGAACTCAATCTTCAGTAAATCTTATTTTGGCGCAGGAAGAATAGACAAATATTAGAACCCTACTTTTACTTGTACTTTTTTCTTCGGCTTGTACCAGTGGGTGTCGCGGGGAACCCAGCCACAAGAAAAAGAGGTATCAATTTCATATGAAGAATTTAAAAACAAATTTTTCAAAGGACAACAGGCACAAAATGATCCCTTTGGAATTCGTCAGTACATACAAATATGAAACCACGAAGAGCTAATGCCTCTCAGAATGTGATATAAAGGGCAGTGAAAATTGACCCCACACAAGGAGCACAGGCAGTGGAATTTTAGTTGTAGCGGGGGGTTCCCTGCCGAGCACTTTATCACGCCGCGCTGTCTGGGCTGACTTCATTTTTGGTACTTTTCAACGTACCGTTTTAGGTGTATCCCTGCATTTAGGGTAATTATAATTTAATGTACCCAAAGCACGCATTTCTGCTTTTGGGACCCAAAAATCAACGGACATTGTAACTTGTCTCGTTCTTTCGTTGGACGCGTTGAAGTCGGCAATGCTAAATTGTAAAATTTTTGGATAAGTGTGAATGAAAAAAATCAATATAAAAAAAACGGCACGACAAAAGCTGTCGAACTTTTGAAACATGAACGACAAAACATTGGTGCAGATGCTCAGAAAAGATGGTATCTGTGCGTATAATAGGAAGCTGAAATTTAGCAACTTTATAAATCTGGCACACAGTTCGCTATGAAGTAATTCCTCCAAATAAAACTTTATGTGTCTAATATAATCAGGAATATTCACATATTTTCTCTACAGTTTATAAAAATTACCCTGATGTCTCTCTATGAAAAAGTACAAACCGATTTTAGTGCCAGAATACATCTACAACAATGTAATACACGAACAGTAGGTTATCAGTTACAGTCCATAAATTATTCCTGATTTTTCTTAAAACGCTAGATCTAGGTTTTGTAAGTTGACTGAATAAAAGGGATGACTTCTCGTAATTGTGTTATAAGAATACTTTCTAGCTTTCAAGTGACACTGAATCAGCACCAGGCTTTTCCAGCTTTTATTTTCATTTCTATAACCATTGCAATAACTGACAATGTTCTGATTTCTTTACATTCATAAGTGTCCGCGCATATGTCCAACACAAAAACTAAGAATGAATGTGTTAGCAGTCATTATGCTTATTTCCATACAAGAAGTTCATCTCTATCCATGTATTAACACAGTTTTGTGATTTTTAAAAATCTTATAATATATCTTTCTTAGTTGTATGCAGGCAGCCACAGACCAACATGATCCTTGAACAAACGCAAAGTAACTTGCTCTTGTTTAATGGTAGAAAAAGAGCTAATGCTGGGTGTCTTTGGTTAAAAAATGCAAATGTGCATCTTTCTTCTCTTATAACTTGACTATTACTACTCGCGCAGATTTAAAATAGTAAAAGACAAGATATACGTAGTTAGTTTAAAGCAGATTTTGGAGAGACCTGTCATGCCGTTTTAAAATATACAATCATTTATTCATAAGTATGTAACTAAAATAGGACAAATTGGGTACTCTACAAACACTTATCTAGAACAAAAACTAATATATATAAATTAACCATAAATGCAGAATAAATCTCAAGACATTGAGCTTTTAGTACATGCGCGTAATGGTCTGCTGTGTGGAATGCGGAAGAAGTTAAATTGTTTAAAACGTAGACAAAAATGCGAACTTCTTAACAGACACCGGCAAAGTCGCTTCAGGGCTCATTAATCCCGTGACCTTGAGCCGGGGAGCTCCGGCGGTGTGCTGAGTCACGCTAACTTAAGGTAACAGAATCGGGCGAAAAGTGACACCGTGCAAAAAGTCATCAAAAAGCCCTGTTTTCAAGCCCTGCTCAGTAAGTATTCCACCGCATTAAGTCTTAAGGCCTACCTGCTGCTGACACTTCCACATCAGGGCTGGAACCGCCCGATCCTTGGTGCGTGAGCACGGTCGGTCTCATCAGAGTACGAGTCTCGCTGCGAACATGCCCTTCACCCACTTGGCCATCCACACTGTGCTTGTGCCGGTTCCTCTCCTCGCTCTGACCTCTGACCTTTCCTGAGTTGACTGACCCTGAAGAGGAGGCTGACGACTGAGATGACCGAGAGATACTTCGAAAAACGTGATGGCTCCCAGAAGATGGCGTATTAGGATTACTGTTTTTGTTTCCCCTTGATGGTGAGACAAGACCTTTCGAAGGGGAGGTCATCCGCGCGACAGCCGGCCCAGGCCCTGTTTGATCCACCACAGAGTTATTAGAGGTGGGAGAATAGGAACCCCCTGTTGACGTCCTCTTGTTGAGATTCAAAGAAAGGCCGGGCGGTTTGGATTTGATGCCTGATGATGAGACCGAGTTGCTGTTTCTGAGGGAGGATGAGAACACGACATGCTTGCTGTAGTCAAAAACCTGGTTTCCACAACCTTTGTCAACGTCGCCTGAGAAGAGAAGCTCTCCGCCAAAGAAAATCCGCATGCATTTGGCTCCTATGTCCAAGTTCTATGAACAAACGGGAAAAGAAAAACAAAGACATCAGGGCAGCAAGCCGATGCAGTGGTTTCAGCAACAGCAAAACTTCTACTTAATGAGCATTTTCCTGTAGCTGATGTATCATGGTGGCCCAGCATCTTTCTCCAGGTATCATGCTGTACGTCATGAAGATTAATAAGCTAAATGTCTAAAAATCTAAGAAACTAACCAAGTGAGATAGTCAAACTTATCGTATTGTACTTTATTACAATAAATAAAGATATAAAAATAACAAATGTAGGCATCATAATGTCACTACATTCCACAACCAGATGAAAATAATAATTATATTTATCTTATTATACTCCAGAATCAGAAAACTCCCTTGTCAACATAACCAAAACTTTATTTTTAAGAGCACTTTCCAAATCTCTCTTTCACACACTCGTGCATTAACTTGACTTTCAAACAAATTTAAATATTTCTAAAGTTTTGAAACATTTTTGAAAAAGCTGATAAGAGCTATCAATGGAACAAAACACTGTCTGACCAAAAAATCCCCAAAAGACCCACTCACACTAATCTTGTTGTTCCAGTTCCAGACTTTGACGGCACCGAGGTTAAAGGGCTTGCCTGGCAGCGGGTTGATGAGCAGAATAGAAAACTCTATGGGGCGACCATCAAACTTGCAGCTCCACATGTTCCTCTCTTTGGTGGTCTGTGCCAGAGTAACAAAAGATAAGGGGTGAAAGGAAAACCAAATTAAAAAAACAACAACCAAAAACCAAATACAGTTCGCTTTTCGCATTCCACAGGATGATATCGGTTGCTTGTGCTCAAGAAATATTTTGTCAAAATTCAGATTTTTAAGGTTGAAAAACAGCAAGAAAAATACAGGGTGACCCCCCCAAAAAACTGTACAACTTTTTTGGTTAATATTTTCCTCCACATTGAAGTTTTGCCTTTCAAATTTGTACACAACATTTGGAAGTCAAAAGGAATTTTGATATTCAATTTATATAAATCCACAACATAGTTTTGCTCTACATAGCGCGTAAAAAACAACACTTTTTCAACTAATTCCCCATTTTTGTAGTATGACGCACTAGTCTGCATTAGGCCTACCACTAAAAATCCCAACGATTGTGCCATAATGCAAACTACAGTAGTCTAACAGGATAATAGAAGTTTGCAAATGGTTTTTCTCAAGTTTCCTGTGCCTGCTGAGATCATGGTTAAGATTAATAAAGAGCAGAGAGCTTTTTGTATTGAACATTTCCTCACCACCAACTCATTTCCTAAGTTTTGCGCAAGGTACAGAAATAATGTTAAAATGTCCTTAAGGCCTTCTTTGAAGTCAAGGGTGGAAATGGTCCATCAGTTAGGACCTGCAGAGAATCAGAACTAAAAATTCCCAGACAAAACGACCACTTCAGGTCATACACACTCCGTTCGCACCCCTTTAGATGTCACCAGGGTGCAGAATTTAGTAGATGAGCCCCTTGAGACCTCTGTCCGTAGATGATGTCTGCAGCTATGACTTTCCTAAGTCTCAACGGTCCGCATTCTCAAGGCAGATCGTCATCTACTACTGTACCATTTTCCTGTTCGCGAAGCTATCAGAGGATAGCAATGTGTTCACGATTCTTCAATCTTGAAAAGCGTCAACATTTCCTCTATGACATTTGGTTCCTTGGCAAAGCCCATATTCACCTTTCAGGCTAATCAACTCCACAAATTTAATGCTGTCAATTTGGGCAACCTCACCCCCCCCCATATTGTCTCTAGAAACAGCTCCCTACTGTAAGGTGTACATTGTGTGTGGCTCTGAGTACTCATGGTTGTGTGGATCCTTGTGTTTGGCCACCACTGAACATTACGAACGATGATTTTAAAATGTGTCGAGTCCAAAGGAGGACATATGGACTGTTGGTTCTCGGAATTCCAGAATTACATTTTTTTTTGTACTCTGTAGGAGAACAAAATATTGTTTAAAGGTTACAGGAATGGAAATATTAGATTTTAAAAATGAAAGGAAAGGAAAAAAACAAACCAATCATTACATGACTTTCCTTAAAAGATCTTTTAAATTGGTGCATTTTGCATTTATATATAGTTTTAATTATAAAAGCAATTTCCGTTTTTGAAAATAAGTTTCTTCCTTGCGAATTTTATGTCAAACAAATTCCTTTTGAATAAATTATATCAGGTCCAAATTACAATAATCTAGTACAAATTTTGTGTGAGATATTTAGAAAAAAAGTTGTACAGTTTTATTTGGATCACCCTGTATATAGAGTAGGTACAATTGTTTTTTCTCTCTCCTGGCAAATTTTGCTTTCTAGGTTGCCAACGAAATGTATCCTACAGCGGCTCACCTTTGACTTGCCATTGAAAAGAACTTCCACTTTACTGGTCTCCCCACGTGCCCCATGCACAGAGACATCTGACGGTTTGATTGGCACCAGGAGACCTGACTGGTCAAAAAACTGTAACTCTGTCAAGCCCACCAGTGACGGGTGACCCCAGTTCGACGAGATCTCCACCGTGACCTCAAGGCGATCAGTCACAGGGGCTTTCGATGACTGTGCGGTAAATGAGAAGTTAAAGAAGAAAAACATGAGACAAAAGGCGTTCTGGGCAAAGTACTGAGATATGTGGGTAAAAGGGGTGGCCTAAAGATTGTTGGCACAGGTGAATTTGTTAATAAAGCGGAGCAACAAAATTCTCACCTAGAAATATTAACTGCATCATCAAAGAAATTCCCTAGACATATAAACAAGTAATAATAATAATATATAATAAATGACATTTATAGCGCTCAACCCCGAATAAAGTACAGTAGTCTCCGCCTAAACGGACGGTGCTCGGGAGGGCTCATTAGCGTGTGTTTACAATGAGCGTGCGTTTACACAAACCTTTGCAAGGGGAGGAAGGGACACAGTCATCTCAATTCCTTATTACTCTAGTGACCTCCCTTGGAGAGAGGTTTTTTTTTTTTTTTTTTCAGATAATGTGACAACATGTGGACGTGACTGTTTTGTGAAGGATCCCCCGACAGGGGATAAGAATACAAAGGCGTTGAATGGGGGAGGGGGGGACAGACTCAATATAATGAATATGCACTATAAACGTCGGGAACAGATAGCCTAAGAGGAAACTAGGTGGTGATAGTCATAGAGACGACGGACCAGCCACGTGGCTTTCCAAGCGACCACCTCCGACCATAAATCCACGCAGAATCATTCTCTAAGTTCAGAGAAACATTTCCTCTTGTGAGTCGTTTAACAAGTACATTATAAGTTCTTCGAGTGCAGCTGATTAGGCTTACTTGGCTAATCGTTTATCCTGTAGAAGCCTGTCAAGTGTTTTACGGCATTCACGCATGTTGCGCATCAGGCCTAGTTCTAACTAAACATTACATGCAGTCCTTCAAACACAAGTCAGAAACCTTCTCTCAACAAAAGTACATTTCCAGTGACCAATCAAAAAACATTTCAGACCCCCAATCCCCCCCACACACATATTTAACCGACCAGCCCTAGACCGAGACCTGTGTGTCAGTGTCAGTGGGAAGTAGGGTGTGAAAACGCTGTCCATCACTCTCTTTGTTCGTCCATCACTCTCTTTGTTCGGCCAGAGGGGCATGCTCACCAAATATCCGTTTTCTATGCTTGTCTTAGGCAGGCTGTGCAGGTTGCTTAACCTGTTGGCGTGTTTCGCGGATCGGAGCGTGCATTTGGAGGGAGTGACCGTGCATTTTTACGTTTAAATTTTATAGTAAAAAACCCGTCAGATGACGAAAGCATGCGTTTGAGCGGAGCGTGCTTTTGTATGACGTGCGTTTAGGTGGAGACTACTGTGCACAGGCTCTGAACGCTTTACAATACAGTACAACATACAACAGTAGCATAAAACATTGTGTTTTGACTAAAGAAAATTATTCCAAATATTTATCTTACTAATTTAAAAACAGAAACGACTTCAGCTGACATTTGAATTAATCAAAAGATTCGATCTCTCTCAAAGTACTTGGTAAAGCATTCCAGATCTTGGGGCCTTGGTATTCAAATGCCCTTTCACCCATTGTTTTAAGTTTCATATATGGTAAAATAAATTTCTTTTTGTCAGCTGATGACCTTAAACTGCGAGTTGGAATGTGCAGTCTTAACAGATTTGATAAATAGGATGGTGTATTATCATTCAAACATTTGTGACATAGGGTGGCCAACTTGTACACAATCCTTTTCTCAACAGGAAGCCAATGCAAAGTTCGTAAAAGTCACACAAAATCAAAAGTAGTTTTCAACTGTAGAGTTCATAGAAATATGTTTGGGTTTGTGTCCTCCTACCTTGGGACAAGCATCAAATTGGAGATACAGCGGGACTGGCGTATAGCACAGACTACTATCAGGTTAGAGGTAGAGACTACAGACAAAATGTGGCAACTCTTGACTCATCTAGATGATAGATCTGTCTTGAGCGATTGCCACGTGCAGGGGAAAAGCAAGTAGCAACCAAGTTCATGTGCAGCTCAAGCTGAACTTAATGCAAATTCAATTTTAAAATTACTGCAGATCAGAAGCTAAGCTATTGTGTGTCAAAGGCCCTGTAGATGTACTTTAAAAAAATCAAACCCGATACTCGTTAGTCCTTGTGACACTTCAGACCTTTCAAGTAGTATTGAAAATCCGCACAGGCACCCGCCAGACTTTTGGCCATTCCGCTGGTGGTGGTGATGCTGGATATTTTGCCTACAAGCCGATGTGGTGCACTTCATTTGAAGCTTCTCCAGACAATTTCAGTTGGCTATTAAAATATTGACTAAAGCCTTAAACTATTAGCATTTTCATAATCAGTGCAAATCAGGAGCAAATCGGTGACAAATTAAATGCAAATATAGGTCGAACTCGCAGAGACGTATGCGGGACAAAGATTATGAAGCAGCCATCAAATGAGTGCCGCGCGCCATGTTCAGTGTGTACCGGCAGCCAATTCCCTGGCAGTCCAGAGGGGCAAATTTTAGGTTTATAGGGATGGTACAACTCAGGCAGATGGCGGATGGCAGTGTAAAGGCCCAAATGCTATGTTTATATAGGTGTCCCACTGGCAAAACCTGGAGGTAAGAGGGGCTGACGGTACAACTGGGGGTGGTTCAAAGGGATTTGAGTATTTGACTATATATCTGAGCTTTTCTGTTGCGATGTATTATGACAGTCTAGACAGCTCATCCTGAGAATTAGTGTAGACAGGGACATAATAATTTACAAGCAGCAGATAAACAAAGAACAATAATTTGTCCAGGCAGCAATTCACCACCACACGCACAATTATTCACGAAAAAATGTGAAAAGCAGGAACAGAAATTTGCTTCCAGAAAGGTGATGTATACACAAAAATAATTCTCTAGACAAACAGATAAAATCAAGAGTAGAGAAGTGATCACAATTCATTCCACTCACCCAGCTGGAGGCCATGGAGCACAAAGGCGGAGCTGTCACATCATTCTGCAGCCCGGAGTCTGCCACCTCTATGTGGTTGAGCGTCTGCAGTAGTTGTTTCTGCTGCCTGAAAGACATGGCATGCACTCATGTTGATACTGGTATCACAGGTTATGAGCATAAATTACCTTTATTTTAAATTAAATTTCTTTCCCCAAGGAGAAACTGGTCATGTGTAATAATAATAATAAAATAATAAATAGCATTTATACTGCGCATTTCCATTTCCTAAAAAAATGCTCAATGCGCATTAGTCGAAAAAGACATCACATCTTAAAAATTAATCGACATGCATGTACGTAAAAAAAAGTATTATGCATATAATATCTATGTATATGTGTAAAAATTTCCATGAGAAAAACAGTCTTGCAGAGAGGTTGTAGATGCGTTCACTTAAAATATAAAATGAAATAAAAATTAATGAATGGTTACAATAAAATTTAAAATTTAGAGTTCAGCCTCAGACACAAGAAGGGCATTTTCAGGAAAGCATGGCCAAAAATTTGGTGGTTTCGGGTAATGAAAATGAACCACTTTACATAATACAAGCCAAATAAAGCTAAAGGAAATCACCCAAAATAAAATATGTGTCACGACGTGGAGGAATCAGGCGCTCATCAATTTTTGGACATGTGGAGTTATTGATACCATTTTAACTCTAGTCCTGCGGGGTTAACTGGAAGAGGGCTCTTATCCATCGATGACCCGCTTACGTCACCCGCGAGCTTGTGCCGCAGGGCGCCGGGGTCAGACACCGGTCACGCGAGCGTGCCGTGGCGGGTCAGGGAAACACCTCATCTTTTACAGCAAACTGATACGATCAATGAATAAGTGTAACAATCACACGAATAATCCCGTTATCTTCTCATCAGTTGATCAGAGACGCTGAGATTGGAAGTTACACCAAATCGAATAACTTTTCCAGAGTTTTCCAGATTTCACACCTATTATGAATGAACTTGCGAACAGCTGCTTATCAGCTATCGTTCGAAAGAGGAAAAAAATGGGATAATTTCCTAATATTTTTTTTATTCAGTTGCTCTCAAATTTCTCCCTCTGGTAGGACAATGGTTCAAAAACCACCAAATATGATTATTTACATCAGGAAACAACGTTTTGTGTAAGAATTAGATTGTTTGAAAAGTGAGGAAAGGTGTTTGCATTGAAAGATGAAAGTCCTATTTCCTGAATATCCTTTCGAGTCCCTCAAGTGTCTAACTGGGTCAAAATGCTCATATTTCATTGGATGAACGTCTCAACCGACGCTCCGTTATCTCTACCAATGCTTCGCGTTGCAAAACAACGCAGAAAGTTCCAGATGGACACACACGCACAAGCAGACGGACGCACATACATTTCAGCACACAGATGCAGACCCCGCACTAAACAAAATGCGTTGCCCACGCGGGACGACGACTGATCAGGGACCAGCTGTGGAACGCCCCGCGGGACTGCGCTTATCGGGCAAACATTTATCAGGGAGCAGAATCTTAAGGGTTAAAGCTTGTTCATTTGTCTTGCTTTCGGTGAAAAAAATACACATATATCATAAATAGAAGTCGAGATATTTGAGATTGAAGGGGGTAGGGATTGCCTGGTTTCAGAGGTAAAATTAGTGAGAAAATGGCAGTCAAAGTTTGGAGACTTCCACAGCTTCAGAGTCGGAAGAAACTGAAAATTTGCATATTTCTGCCTTGAATCTACATTTTTAAGTAAAATCCAAACAGAAACGTGTTTTTAAATGGACTTTTAAGGTGTTGAGCTAAAAAACAAAAATTCCATAAAAATTGCCAAACGGACAGAGAAATGACAGTTCTATCGATTTCATTATTTTGACGAGCGCCTGATTTTACCCCGATGCCTCACATATCGATATCTATGTACATCAGAAACTATAGTTGTACCCTTCGTAAAGATTTCACACAAGACTTTCAGTATATTAACAAGCAAATTGCACTTTCTGGAACAAGTTTAACAAATATTCCAATTGAGCTTGCTGTGAGTAACAATTATAATTTAGTCCTTATATCCTCAGCAGACCAAGTGCGGAATGCAAGGCTAAAACAGGACGGGAAGCAAGAGCTACCAAGTGACCATCAAGAACGATGTTATTGAACCATACATGTAAAACCACTGTATTGTGTATAGAGAAAAAGAGTCTCAAAATGAGCATGCAAACGTGTACCAGAGAGACCACCAAAGTGCCTGACCAGCTGCATATCAGAGAAAAAAAACATTTCCCCCCCTCCCCCAAATAAAAACAACAATAAACAAACCACCAAACTCACTTTGGATTCATCTTGAGCACCTTCTGTATGACATTGTTGATTGGTGACCCATCTGCCTTGACCTGTGAGGTCATACCTCCAGAAGCCCGTGTGGGTTCCGGGTCGGCTGATGACCTAACTGGGGTCGGGGGTTTGGCCTTGTCCGCAGATGAAGAGGACGATTTGTCACCAACACTTGGGCTCTGAAGCAGAACATGAGTTCTGGGCATGATGACGCTGACTTACTGAATTAGGTTACAACTTCAGAAGAAGGAAAGCAAAAGTGTTAGTCTCTGATACTACTCATGTGCATACTCCTAGTCATTTTGTCTAATATTACAATAATTTCGGTGCCATCTAAATAATATGTTAGGAAAAGGGAAGGATAAGATGGGCGTGCATTATTTTCAACACTTTGCCTCCACGGGACGCCGATTGGCAACGGTAAGAAGCTGCCCCTTTTCCCCAAGTGACGCTGGTCACTGATCGGCGACAGTGTGATATAGGAACAAAAACGTTGCAGCAATGATCTCCTTTTTGACATGCGCACTTGTTAAAGTTAAATTTCTTTTCTGAATGGTCAAAAATCAGTTTGCACACAACAATAGGAGTAATCTTTTTTGGGGGGAAAAATGTTGAGTAGACCTAGTATGAATTTCTACTTTACTCTTAGGCCATGATGAGAATTTGGGTGATGAATGAGCTAGATCTAATGTTTTCAGTTTTGATTCTTACTTCCTTTTTGATGAACATACGATCATCACTTTCAATTTTCTCTGTATGCTAAAAATGTCATAATGGTTGGGGTATTTTTGCCGAGATACAGTACTACAGTACTGATGTATCGCATCAGCATCCTTGTACATGGAGATAAGAGATAAGTGTTGTGCATTCTGTGCGCTGCGAGGGTGGCAAGTGTTAAACTTTGCCATGTAATTTCAATTTAGAGAAGCTAGATTATTCAGTTCACTAGGTAAAACCCTTTTAAAAGTTATTCAAGAAGTCTTAATGAACTCGTTTAGTACAAATGGAAAACCCAAAAAATCTTTAAAACACACCACAAAACACAAGGACTCTTGCCGAGGTCCTCTTGCAGGCACTGGTAAATGTCATAATTTCTTATTCAAGGAGGAACTACACTTTTAGACCGCTTTACAAACTCAGTTATGGATTCAAAAGTCACAATATGAAGAAATTTACATCATATACTTCAGAAGCAAGACTGCAAATACCATATACATGTATATGAGTTGAAAAACTGCCTTCTCATAGCTTGTCCACTTAAAAAAAAATTCTAGCTTATTCGCTTATTTGCCAATGTGCGTGAAACTTTGCATGGTGTTCCTGTAGGCCAGTGACCCAACAAAAATTTAAAATAAAAAAAAAATTGATCCAGCAGTTTACAAATTGCTCATTTTGAGATAGCAACACCACTTTGCAATCCCCTTTTCGGTGTAATCTTGTAGCTTTCCCCCCTAAAACTGTCTAAAAGTTACAACATGCGTCTTAGAAAGCACTCATTCGTCTGCTGGATCTTGTTTCATGGTGCGCTTTTAAATGTGGTGTTGAGGAAAATAGGTCAACTTCTTATGTTTCAGGCATATGCTGTAAATTACCTTTAATTTTTTACCAAGGTCACATCAAAGATACTCTGTCATAACATTATTTTTCAGTGACCTTTATTGACAGGCTTTTAGATTCTGTGGTCATCAAACTAAAAGACCTGTGAAGATTAATCGGGGCAATTTGTTTTTACCCCACTTTAACCATGGCTACAGTAATTGCTACAATGTTGTGATCACTATATCTACATCTCTTAATTTACCTAATCAGACCCAAGTCATTTTGAGATAATATCGACTAAAAAGGAAAAAGAAAAACATGCAAACCAAAAACACATTTCACCAGGTGGCATAGAGACAAATATTGTACAAAATTACAAAATGATCAAACCCTATCAAACCCTAAAATATGTCAACCCCCCCCCCCCCCCCAAACTGTGATTTGTCCAAATCCAACCCCTCCAAAAAAAAGCTTCAGGAAATGTGTACACACAATAATTGTGCATTCTAATATAAATCATGCAGAAAAATTTGGTTGAAATAAAGAAAACCATGCCTTCTTTCTGCATTTGTGGTATGATATTCATTATAATATTAACACTAGAATTCTAAACTGCCTTGGCAAGACTGTTTCACAGTGGCACAATAGGTGACCAATAGACTGGACCTCTGGAGCTAGGTAAAGCCCTGGTTCTATTATCTAGGAGCACACCTCTCAACCAGTAAATGTCCACTAATGATGTTTTTTTTTTACATGCATGTAATTGTGAAATTTGGTAAGACAAAGCCTCTGACCACAAGGAAGAAAGGTGCACTATACAACATTATAAATTTTATACTCAGGAGGTAAATGATATCATAATTTTTAAAAAGCAAAAACCTTACCTACGAGCAGCGATTTGTTATCCCATAACAAATTGAAAAATAAAAAATGGGATAACAGATTTTTAACATCTCCACCATAAGACCAGTCACACCTGAACTTTCAAACACACTTAAATTTTGGCAAAATTGCAGTCTGCACCGATGTATTCTCATTGGAGAAAGAGTGAACACTGAAATCTAGTTTGCTCAAAACTATTTTTCACTTCAGACTGGCTGATGTTTCTCTCAAGTTTCTACGTTGAACTGATCTAAAGCAACATTATTATTTCAAATATTGTTTCAAACAGACAATTCAACTGCATTGCTTTTCTTGTTCTTAATAATACAGGAGTTAAGCTTTCAGCTGCGTTCATGCTGCTAATGCCATCCACATGTGTTATTGTTCCTTTCCTCATCCTCTCAACTCGGTGTGCTTCCATCAGTCTTTAGTAGCTAATTTTCTTTCTTACTCTGAATGTTCTTCTCTGTAATTTGGCAACTGCTGTATGCAATATCTCACCTCTTCGTTTGTCAAGCAAGCTGAAGCCAAAGTGATGAGCAATTTTTTTCTGACGATTCATCTGAAATTTACTTCTGATTGTGCAAATGCCTTAACGGAAACCTGTTGTTGTTATCGATCCAGTAACGGAAACCTGTATAAAACAGAAACCTGTCTTAACGGAATCTCCCCGCTCCCCCCTAGATATATTCCTCTTTAATTACCTGTATAAAACAAAAACCTGCCCAACGTGTAAACGGAAAGAAAAATCCGCTCCCTTCCCAGGATTTTACCTGTTTAAGACGGAAAATGCTTAGCCCGCTCAGCCCTGATTTGAAACAAAACTCGCAAGTTTGGTTCCGCCAGCTCTAAACTTAACGCCATGGCCATGCCGCTGGGCGAGGAAGGGGAGTAGGGGTGCAATTTGGAGGTAGAAGTTACCCCATCATGTGAGCCCTGACCAATGCAGATGGTCAAGGTGGTGTGGGTGTGAAATCTCATGACTGCCCATGAGAGTGCTCGAGTAGCGAGCCTCTACGGAAACTTTCCAGGGTAGCCAGAAGCCAAAGGTGTGAAATTAGATTGACCAATGCCTGCTGCCCTGATTGTATGGCCAGCCGAGAAAAGAGGAAGGGGAGTAGGGGTGCAATTTGGAGGTAGAAGTTACCCCATCATGTGAGCCCTGACCAATGCAGATGGTCAAGGTGGTGTGGGTGTGAAATCTCATGACTGCCCATGAGAGTGCTCGAGTAGCGAGCCTCTACGGAAACTTTCCAGGGTAGCCAGAAGCCAAAGGTGTGAAATTAGATTGACCAATGCCTGCTGCCCTGATTGTATGGCCAGCCGAGAAAAGAGTTCCTCGAATCGTTGTTACATGGCAGTGAAGGGTGGCATTGGTCGACTGCTTGTAACGCCGGTGGGTGGGGCTACGGGTGAATGCAAAGGAGACGATCAAGCGTTTCGGTTTTTAATAGGTCAAACAGTGGTCCTATGAAAGGCAAGCACTGGTGGTAATTGGATAAGACTGACATATGCATCATTATCAGACAGGATAGCAGCTGAGAGGTGTGAAGTTTTGACCACTGCTTGCAGATTGGAAAAGCAATCCTTGATCCCAGCAACAGGGCCTTTGAAACCCCCCTCCATCACCCCCTAAATTCCCCTGTATAAGACATAATTTTTTACTGGCTCCCTTGCGATTCTGTCATACACAGGTTCGACTGTACAATCTTGAATGCTGTTTCATGTTTGACTGTTGAGGAGGATGAACTATCTCTGCCCAGTTTTTTTTTGCAAAAGTGAGGAGGTAAAAATATAATATCCTGGTAAAACATGAAATGAGTCATCGTTCATGTGTGTCGTTATTAGACTTGAGTTGCAAAGGAATTAGCACACAGTGGATGTCATATATGCTAACAAATTGATATTCTAAAGTCACAATACCGAAGAATAACAACTTCAGAGTTGCCTATATCAATATTCTCTCATTTTCTTCGTTATGCCTTGCAATGGAATACTAAAGTGCTGACACATCAGGTTATCATACCATTACCTTAGGACGTGGAAGCGGTCGTGACACCTTTGAGAACAGTTCCGCTTTCTTATTCTCCTCTGCAAGAGCCCGCATGACAGCACTTGCTTCCTCTCGCGTATCTGCTTTGCAGTCTGAACTGCGTCTGTTAGCTGACAATGGCCGGGCAGATTTGCTGGACCCTATAGCCAGATGAAAGGAAATACTGTATGACCATATTACACTTGAGATTTGCAGAGCACTGAGCACAAAGACAATATCTTTCTCATATTTCACAAATTAATCCCTAATCCTCACAACACCCTTGTACAATTGAAGGTGACGAAATTCAGAAACGATACCAGATCAACTGCATCCCCTTCATGAAAACCAAGTCCATTCTCTTTGAGGGCCGTGAGTTTGACTGTGTCAGTAGCTCTATCAGTATAATCTGCCCTTTTCAACTAGTGCGTTGATGTCAGTCCGATATTTTGACCCGATCCTATCCTACTCCTATCAAAGACCTCAATCAGTCACAAAAAAGTGCACTTCAATGAGGATCTATCCCTACCGGGTTTTGACTGTGACGATCTCATGTCAGGTACCCTCGGGACAGCTGATTTGTTAGAGGACGCTGGGGCAGATGTCGGCTTCCCTTGGTGCCCTGTGGAAGTGTCTGGAGTTTTCTTACGAGCTGCAGTAAGATTAGCACCGGATTTGACTGTGGACACACAAACAAAATTTATGACACATCTAAAAAGAGTCCCAGAAAACAGACAAAGGGGCCAAGTTGAGCCTTGACTGGAAGAAAACAAAATTCTGTACTTTAAGACAAAGCAACCTGTTTTCTCCCCCGCTAGCACCCCCATTTAACACAAACTTTTCTTCCAGCCTCTAAAATACTGATACAGAGGACCGCTGTCATCATTGAGAAATAGAATTCATTATACATATAGTTACATACTTTGATGCCAAATCAATAGATGTTACTGATGTTGAAATCCAGCAGCCATTTAGTTAAAGTCTTTCTGCAAAACCTTACCAAATGCATTTCTTGTTGTAAAGAGCACTGAGCACAGCCCAGTGAAAATGAGCTGTATAAATGGGATCTATCATTGTTTGAAGCCAACTTTAACCAATCTAGAATACAGGTGTCACAATCAGCTAACCCAAAACTTTAAAAAAAAGAGAACTTTGCTCGGTCAGTCCTCCATACACAGAGAGGTAAAATCACAAAGCTCAGTATCGACATGATGCAGCACATCATTACTATAAGTTAATTTGTAACAGAGACAGTAGAGCCCCAGGAGGTATACAAGAAGCTTCCATCTCAGTTACCAGCCTACCCTTTGGTTGTAAGGGCTGGAACTCCAGGACAAGAGTGTCGCCAGGTGAGAACAGTTTCAATGGCTTCATGTCTGTGCCCTGATTGTCGTTCTCATCAGCCCCATAGATCAGCTCTTCTATCTCCTCGCCGATCGGAGAGATACGCTCACCATCAGACTCCTGAAAGGACAGTCAAAAATGAAAGATTCATGAGAAGGAAAGAAAGAAAGTGAAAGTGGGGAGGAAAAAGTGGGGGGGGGGGGGGGGAGATTTAATATATAAAGATAAATGGGAATCAGTTTTAGTAAGAGTTTTACGGCACTTGCAACACAATAAGGTCATATAAGTGCCGAAGATTAAAGGTGTTACAAGAGAGTAACAAACACAAAAAAGAAGGAGGAGAAAAAAAGACTATAGAGGTTTGATAGGAAAGAAGAAGCAAACCACACCAAAGCACCCGCCAACCACCCACTAAATGGGAACGAGTCACTCTAAATCAAAGACACACTACTAAGGCCTCAAGATTGGATCCTGACCTGCAAGGTCATATTGTTTGGCCTGCTATCATTCACAAAAAAAAATTGGAAGACATGTTTGTAATGTGCGGAGGACTTGGTCACCAAAACAAATAATGAGAAAAACCTGTGAAAGCAGCTGTCCATAACTGGAAAAGCAAAAGCCACTTTTTTCTTTTATATGAGAAAGCCACTGAAATTCCCTGAGCAAAAAATATAGAATTCATGACACTCAATTTAACATGAAAAATGAATTTAAGTGTCAATTTCTAGCACATGATGAATCATGTATGTGTACCTGCACTTCACACAAAACCTTTGATTTGCTGTATATAACAACTGGGTGTATTGGGTGATAGCTGGAGTGTGTGTGTGTGTGCGTGCGCGTGTGAGTGAGAGAGAGAGAGAGGAGAGAGAGAGAGAGAGAGAGAGAGAGAGAAAGAGAACTGAGTTTCCTACATGCCTAAGCATTTATATGACCAGATTGACATCATGGATACAAACCTTGTTTCTGATCTATGAAAGCATAGCTGTGGGCTTTAGTATTTACCTACAGTAGATTATCTAATGAAATGTCAATATCTTTTGTACCTGTTAAGTCTGTAATCAAATGTGCCACAGGGTCAGGCAAGTGGTGGTTTAAAAGAAAAGACATAACTATAGATGGTGAACAAGGTAAGAGCACTAGGTGCATTATTGGGAGTAGCTGGGGTAGACTCATGCAGGACAATAAAACTCAGTTGCTACTTCATTTGCTGTATTCAAAACAAATAAATGAGCAGTAAAACATCTCAGACATATCGAGCAAATATGACAACAATTCGTACATTGATCAGCATGCAGTGTGGCCTTCACAATTCATACATACACTGAATTTTTTTTCTCCAATTTTCATAACTGTTATTCAAGAACAAGACATTTGCATATTAATGGGTATCTTTTGGAACAAACTAAACAACAGACAACAATAGCCACCTGATAAGTACAGAAACTAGGGACACTTTCCAGCAACCCACATCTTTGTATTTGTAAGGCAAGTAGGTCACTAGCATTTGAGCACATACCACAACAAAAGTTCACTGAAGAAAACAGTTCAGTTGCAACACATGGCGAGTTAGCATGGTATCTGCAATGCTTCGTCAGGAACATAGACAGAAAATAAATAGCAACAATGGCACGATGGGGAAGAAGCAGACAACATCATTGGGCCCACCAAGCAACTGACCACCAGTGGGGAGAGGTAAGTAAGCCCCTTGTGCCAGTGGTGCGAAGACAACAGACGGCATGCCGCTATTTCTACACTTCTCTACCACAACAGCCTGCCAACAGTTCACATTAAGCTGTCAACCACACACATTAGCAGGCATTGGGTATTTTCCACATTCACTTTTTCCAATTAATTTGCTTACACATAATACCACAATGACAAAACCAACAACAAAGCAGTAAACATAAAAACTCCCTCCCCCCTATTCCCCCAGTATCTTTACTCTTTTATTCTACACAGGCTACAAAATATGTCACCACCAGGTAGAATCAGGCGCTCGTCAATATTCGGGCATATAGGGTTATCTGTATCATCTTTAAGCCTGTTTATTTGCCTTTCCTTTGTAGAAAAAAATATCCATCCTTGCTGAAAATAAGTAAAAATATTTGACATTGAAGGAGATCAGGGTGGCCTGGTTTCAGAGTTAAAATCAGCGAGAAAATCGCCGCTAAAGTTTAGTAACTTCCATAACCTGAGAGTCCTTGGAAACTCAAAATTTGCTTTTTTTGTGTGCCTTAACCAAGATATTTCAGTAAAATCCACACAAAAATGTGTTCATAAATGGACATAAAAGGTGTTGAGCCAAAAAAAAATTAATTAAAAGAAATGAAATTTGTTTTAATGCTCATCCCCCCCAAAATGCCAATTTCTGGTTTCACCATGATGCATCACAAATAATGATTATTTTGTGTAACAATCTGACTTCAATTCATCTCCCCTCCCCACTCTGCTTCCATAGCACCCCTATCCCATTTCTGTATCAACCTTTCAATTAAATTATAAACAAAAATCCAAAAAATGGAATAGCTCACATTCCTTTTTCCCAGTAGTGAAATAACAACTTACAAGCTAAAAATCCCCCCCCCCCCATCTCCTTTTCAACAACCTACAAAAGCAATAGGCAAACTTTATAAAAATCGATTTAAAATGCTTTTCTATAACAAGAAAGTCTCAAAGATCCCAAGACAAAGTACGTATTTCCAAACCTGCGCCAATTCTTCACAGATATCTTCCTCGATATCCTGGACAAAACAAGAAAAACCAACATGAAATTCAAAGATTTAAAAGACATTGAAAAAGAAAAAAAAACCAAAGACGTAAAGAACACAACCAAAATCCTGAGAGACTGAAAATTAGAGAGAGACTAATCGAAGAAAAGAAAGCCTACAACATTCTGATGTATATTTACATTTCCTCTTTAACAGACAGAAATCTGAACATTTCTTTTTTCTTTCAAAATCAGTACTTAGGAACTGAAAAGATTGGAAACGGAACTGATTAGGCTCCTGCTACTCATATATGTCAAAATTTAGATCATTTAGGTGGGCCTCCGACTATTGCCTGTCAGGGTCAACCCTGGCTGAGAGGGATACAACATCCCAGCAGAAAGGAGATTCGATAAAAATTCTCCCCACTTGAGAATCAAACTCCAATCTCTTGCATGTGACAGTGAAGCCTGTAACGGCTACACCGCAGATGCCAATGTATTTTTTAAAAATATTGTCTCAACAGTCCATGGCAATTCTCTACAGTAGTTTTATAATTTAATCTTTTCAACACCTGTTTCTTTAATTTGTGTTGCTAGATATAAAAAATACAAATCTAAAAAAAAAATTCAGGACAAATAATGGATCTTATCAGCAAGAGTCATCTTGAAAGGAAACTCACCGAGTCCGCATCCAAAGCTAAACTCTGGCGAATGAACTTGTTCATCTGAAGGCTTTCTCTTAATTTCTGAAAAAAAGGTTCATGGTTAATACAGTTGAAAAATCAAACAAAACTTTTCAACTTAAGTAACATTTATTGATGACTGATGTTCTCAAAAGATAGGAAAAAATATGCACTGGCCAAAAAAAATCTATGCAAGAGATCAGTACTAGGATGTAATTTTGTTTCTATCAAAAGTATCAGAGTCAGATCTCCATGCACACCATGTTTTTCATTCAAGGCAATATTGATGGTTGAAGTCTTTCATTTTTGTCAAAAACTTAAAACACACCCCCAGACAACCAAAAAGAACCTTTTGAAGGCTTTTAATTTACAAGTACACCCTCTCATCCCCCATCTTTCCCAATTAAAAATACAAACAAGATTCTCATTCTATAAACTACGTAAAATCATTAGCAAAACGGAAAGAAAAAAAATTACCACCAGCATTTGTGATATGATTGAGAACGACTTGCCTATGAAGAGGGGAAAAAATGAGCTCTGTTCACAAGTCACTTCCTAAGAATTACAAAGTTTTATCTGCTCAGTACCAAGTTCTGAGAAATTTCGAGTCAAACATGTTGAGTTTTACATCATGCCAAGCTTTTTCAAATGCAATTTTTTTAATACCTTGATAATGACTCTGAATAATCTTACAATTTGATAGAACATTTGGTCTCTGACTTCATGGTCGTGGTAACTCAAAACGGCCACAAATGTCAGATAGAACGTTGAAACTGTGAGGAGGCAAAGTGGGGAAAGACATTTTTATTTAGTGTCTCGCTCTTTCAGAGCAGATGTGTCCCATACTGCCCATAGAGGCTTTAACAAGCAGGGCTGAATCAATCGGATTCTAAGGTTATAAAAATTGTGTTGACAAGAGTGTAAAACATATACAACCTCCCCACTACCCCCCGAAAATACCAAAATTAGTCTCTGCCCACCACACCTTTACATCTTCCATCTTGATGGCCACCCTGTTTTCCAGCTCTATCTCCTCTCTTTTAGCCGCCGCCACCCGTTTCAGATAGCTGGTCTTGTGTCGTCGTGGTGTGTTTAGGGAGGAAGTAGAACTACTGACACTATCGTCAAGAGCCAGGGAGGACATGCTGTGTACCACCTGAGAAAGATTTGTTTAAGTTTAAACCCCAAAAAGCAAGGAGCTTGGTTTAGTGGCTCAAGAGGAGAAGAAGAAGGAATGTGCATGGAAAGAAGATAAATAAATGACATACAGTAGACTTTGTTTAACACAAAGCCATTTAATATGAAATTCCTATTAACATAGAAGGATTTCAAATCCCACCCCTCTTTATACTATGAAACTTCTATATACATGGAATGGTTGTAATGAATATTCTTACAAATAAACATCAGTAACATTTCAGAATAAATATTTATCTGGAATATTTAACAGTATTTACATACTGGAAGGGTGGAACCTTTGGCTGGAGGAAAACGGCTCTATTTATCAATCCCAATCCCAGTGAAAAGGGGGAGGGGGATTTGAGGGAGGGGAAGGGGGTGGGGGAGAGAAACATAGTTTGAAAAATTGAAATGGGTAGCCTTAAACATGCAGCAAGTCAAACAATTTCTTTAATTAAAGAAAAGTATGATTTTCTCTGCTTATTATATATAGTACACTGTGATGAAGGCATCTTATTGCATTGATGTCAACAATGGGATGAAAACTCAAAGAAAACCTATTTTCCTACATATAAGAAAAATGAGTATATTTTGACAACTTATATACTGAGACCGATGGTGCCGTCTATACTACAAAACCACTATTCAGGAGTGAACCTATTATTTGATAAACAATGTCGTAGAAATGTATCAATTTTGTGTATCAGAAAGCTAAGAACACTTTCGTCATATTTATTTAGTAATCTAATAAGAGAAAAGCATGGGGAGACAATTCTATTAAATTACCCACATCTGGTTAGCAAAAAAAATCAGTATGAAGTATCCGCTCAAGAAAGCTATAAACAAAGTCATAATATATTTCCGATTTATTAAAAAATACACAACTGCACAAAACGTAGTTCTAAGATCTAAAGCATCCTCTATAACCCAGTAGAATAGAAAGCAAACGAACTAGTTATGGAGAGCACAAGCGAGAATATGTCTACAAGGCAGTGAAAAGTTAAATTTGTAACTGTAAGCATTTAATATGAGATTCCTGGAATTTGGTTTCCATTAATTACCTCTGCTGAGTCATCATCATCATCATCATCATCTTCATCATCAGAACTAACGTCATCAAAGTCTTCAGCATACTTTCCCGACAGGATCTCTGAAAAATAAAATGAAAAAAAAAATGTTAAAGAAAAAAACAGAGAGAACAGCAGACAAACCAAACCTGAATGATGAAAATGTTATCTCACCATCTATACAAGTATGACCTCAAGATGACCCAAATCCTGACATGACGTACAAAAAGTCTAAAGCGAAAACATATTAGACTATCTGTCGCAACTTTGATTTCAGAAACCCTATACCCAAGGCTTATGAAAGCTCAATATGGGATTTAATTTTAAAACGATGACTGTACTAGCCTTTAAGGTCTATACATCAAACTTCAAACCTGAAATGTCTCCTCAGTCTTGAGAGAATATCATACCTAACAAAAAAAATAAATCATTTGAGTCCAAAGCCCCCCCCCCAAAACTCGTAACCAAACGAAGAAAAGACAATTTTGCTACCTTTCTGAAGAAACAGTACGCATGAATATTGTAGCACCAGTAAAAGACAGAAGAACTGAATATTTTTAATTCAAGTCTCTATGCTGCCTCATTATAGAATATATTTAAAGTCGTTTTCTCATCCTTTGGACTCTTGTGCCCTTTGAGAAGCTTAATGTTTCATGGAAAGCTCAAACTGCACCCATATAAAGTGAAAAAAGCTCAAAACAAAAAATCTTTTAATATTTGTAATAATATAAGTTTTGAAAAAGTTCACCTCCCACGCATTTCCCAGAAGCCAAACACATAAATTCACAAAAGGCAGGTCTCACGCATGTTCTTGACACATGTTGGAGAAAGACCAAGATTATACAGGTGCTCAATTACAACCAGTCCGTTTCCAAGCTAAAACTGTTTGTCAAATGTATAAAACCCAACAAAATAAATGTGTAAAGCAACAACACATTCTTCTCACCAGGAGGTCTGACCCTCTGTCTCTGGCCGTCAGCCGTGGTAAACTCCACAGAACCAATCTGCCAGTTCCGCCTCTTCTCTCGGGCCCTTGAGCCCGCTCCTCCACTCTGACTCACAAGCTGTCCACGCTGATCTGAGCGGTCAGAAGACCTCTTCATCTGATCTGAAAAACAAAGGGGGAGAGATTTATTTAATCACAGATGAGAAAGAGAGTAAGCTTTAAGACATGTTTTCAACAATGGAAAGTTACCAGAATTTGTATTTTCAAAAGCACAATAGTAATGTCAAAAGCAAACACTGAATCAAAGCTGTCTCCTGGTACATGGACATTAGGGGGACAGTGTTCACTGAAATGGTTCATTTACATTTCTAGAATTAATTATTTTTAATTCTTTTCTTTTAGAATGTAGCTTGGTAAAATTTCATCCCTAATTGTAAAGAACGCATTTGATGAGGCCAGCAGAGTCTAACTTACCAGCTGCACCTGCTGTTTTAGCACGCTGTGGTCGCTTTTTGTCCGAACTGGAGTGGTCTGACACAGTATTGAGGTACAGAGTAAAACCTTTTTCTTTCTTTTCAGTCTCGATTTCTTTCTTGCTCTTTTTTCGCAGTCTCTGAACCAGGCTGTTTCAAAGAAAGAAAACACACATTTTTATTCTTTTCTAACGAAAAATAAAGAGCACAGGCTTTTTTTTCTTTCTTGTGTTTCTTTTCCCTCTTTCTCTTCTTACGCAGTTTCTGAACAAACCTAACAAGGCAAAGCAAAAAGACCTACTAAAACCCACTTAAAAGAAAAATACGACAATCAAGTGTCTTGTCTTAAAAGCAGACACAGACATTAATGGTTCTCCATCCATTTCTTTCATTTGACGCCTTCATAAACTAACAGTTCATTGAGCTGTTTGTTACCCAGGTGTTCACTCCCTATATGAATCTTGTGCAGGCGCGGTTCGTCCATACAGCACGGTCGTGCAGTGCCGCCCAAAATTTGTTTATGTTCTATTAAGTAAAACACCCACAATAATAAAAATAAAAGAAGCCAAAAACAAACACTAGCAAAATATTATATCAAATAAGGTCCTCACTGGTGCCATAACTGTCATTTCTGTGTCTATAGCGCCGTAAAACATCAACTATGCCATGCCAAAGTCCACGTGCTTTAGCTAAACATAATAGGATATTCAACAGTGTAACCTGACCTATAAATCGCTCTTGGGGATAACCTAAGCGATGACGACAGTCGTAGCGAGTTTGGCGGTAAATAAATATTAATAAGACGGCACATCTCAAATGTGCTCTTGCCGAACAGTGCCAAAACATAGCCCACAGTAGGCAGTCTAAAAATAAACGCGATAGATCGTACACTATTTTTTGCCAATATTATGTGAGCCCCGGAGCAATCCAGCGGAGTGCTCAAGTGAATTGTGATTGGTTCATTGTATGTTTTGCCACTATTTTAAGTGACTCTGTGACCGTGAACCTGAGGGAGGTGAACGTGACCATCCTACGAGTTGTGCCTTTGAATGGTTTTATAGTGGAGTAGTGAAAGTTATTACTTCAGTGTTCAGTTCCAATACAGGATGAACGAAATTGATGTTTGGCTAGCAAACAAATTTAAGAACTAGAAATCAAAGCGCCAAGTAAAAAGAATGAAAATAAAAGCACGAGGTCCTCCCCCACTAACCCAAAGATCCTAAAATTATACACCGTCTCATTTACTATGCCCTTGACTATCTTCAGCATGCAATAGCTTAATTGTGTACGTCCACTTTTTAGCCCCACGAGCCGCCCCTGATCTTGTGCATTGGCATCCTCCGCTTTTTTCCCTTCTATTTTTCCTGTCCAAATTAATTACTCCAACACTGTCTTTCTGTATAAATGCCCCCTAAATTTCTTCTGTTGCCTCCTAATTGTCTTGATGAGAGCTTTTTTCACGTTTGCCATTTCCAACATTTCGCTACCCTAGAATTGCTAAGTTCGATCTGCTCAGTACCTAGTTTTGAGAATCTGACGTAAAAAATTTTGAGTTTCACAAGTCAAGCTTTTTCAAATGCAATTTTTTGAATATCTTGACTACAACTCTGAATAATCTTACGATTTTGATAGAACAGATAGGACACTTTGTTTCTGACCTCCTGGACTTCATTACTCAAAACAGCCAAAAATGTCAGATAGAATATTATAATTCTAAGTTAGTGATTTCTTTGTCTGTTTTCTTTCGTGTCCATGATATTTTGAGCATTCTCCTTGTGAACCATATTTCTGTTGCTTTTAATTTTCTTTTAATACTGGTGTTTATTATCCAGCACCAACACTCGTAACAGAGAACTGACAAAATGTAGGCCTTCTTCTTCTTCGCGTTCCCCTGCTGGATCTCAGGGGTAGTTGACTGCTGGTTCTTCTGCAACTTATTTTTACATACGTGACAGTTTTTCCTACTTCAAACAAAGGGCCCCTTACCAGCAGGCAGCCGCATTTCAATTTTAAAGCTACTCTATATGTATTTATATTGACTGCAGTATTTTCAGTTTGAGTGGGAATTTTTTATTTTGCCTGGGTGGCAGCCGAAGCCTACTCTTATCAATTCAAGGACCACCGAAAGATCTTTAATGTGAGCAACTTGCACACGTGACCTCCGAGATTTTTCACCCTTATCCAGGAAGGCTAGGCATTCAATCTTATCTATCGTAAGATTAGGGGTGTGGCTGACAGACAACAGTAAGAAGGAATTAGGAGAATATAGCCGGAGATGGGAGGGGGGGGGGGAGAGAGTGATACAGATGCAAATAGAGAGAGAGAGAGAGAGAGAGAGAGGGGGGGGGGGGGGGGGGGGAAGGAAGAAAGAGTGGAGATAAAAGCAAGAGACAGAACAGCACTAGAGTACTATAAAGGAGAATATTTTCGAGAAGAAAATTTTTCTCCTCGCTGTCAGGTTTCACACTCTGGACCTATTGAATCAGAGGAGAACACTGTACCTCAAGACCACAAAAGCCCCCATGCATGCTTTCAATAATTTTGTTTTGTTGTGGCCATTGAAATGTTTTTATTTGAAATGATCAGGGACAGCTTTTTTCAAAAGGCAAATGACCATTAAAAAGAAAAAGCAAAGATCAATACTCATTTTAAAGAGGGGCACAAGGGGCACTCTTGGTCTAGAGGTACCATGCTTTCCTCTCATTCAATAGGTCCCTCGTTTCACGGCGCACAGAAACAGGATACTTTAGTTGAGGACTCAGGTAACCAGTGGCGCGCTGACCTGTGATGGTGAACGGGGTCATCGAGGTCATCGCGTGGGCATTCTTCGGTCAGCGTGACCGCGCGGGAGGTTTAGAAAATCATATTTTTCATTCTGAATTGAGCCCTAATTAACACAATAACATTGACTTAAAGACATCACTGCATGCGGGCATCAGTAGTTCCAAGTCTTTTTCATGATATTTCAAAAACAAAGAGAATCAGCATTGGTCTGTTTAGTTGTAACAGACAGTGCAAGATGGTCATGTCTGATTCCCGATATCGTTTCTAGTTATGATGTAATGAACGCCGATAATTAGAAAACTGAGCGTCAGGATTAGTTCATCTTTAAGGGACACAAACGTAACACATAAGGGTATCTACTCACCAAATTTCACTGCTACCGCAGTTTGTGTGACCTCAAAATGGTTCATCTATGCATCACATTGTCGTAAATATATATCCACATATTTCCCTCACTTGGAAAACAATAACTCCATACGAATCATGGCGTAGGCTATAGATTTTATTCTCTTTAAAAGTCTTGTTGTTAATTGTTCTTCTTTTTTAGTGAGTGGGTGCGTCTCTGTCTTACTCATTGCATGGCTGGTGGTTTCTATGTCTTTGATCATGGGAGATGTTGTGCTGTCTTGGGTAGACCTAACTGTTTCATGTATCTGGGCTGGAGTTGATGAAGCCAAGGGAGTCGCAGAAAATGTTTGGCCTTTAGTGGGTGTGAATGATGACGATGGAGAAACACGGAAAGTGCTTACGCTGTGCTCACAACTGTTATCATGCGGTATGGGAGAATTTGTGACCGATGTGCTCTGACTGATTGTGTCGGTGTGAGCTACGATGTGACTGTCCTGAACCATTGTGTCTGCATGTTGTACACCTACGTGTTGGTCACTGACTGGGACAACAGACTGAGGGTGGGAGTGAAAAGTCTGACTTGTACTTGTGTGTGGGTCGTTTTGTTGTGTTGAGTCTGTGCTGAGAGCACGGGTACATGTACTC